AAAGTTAAAAGTAAATGATTCAGCTCTTATTCTTCTTTCCCCTAAGCTATCTTCAGATCATATAACCTGTTTCTAGAACAACTTGTTTCTTACTTTTAATCACATTGATTGTCAGTTTTCTACAATGATTGGAACTGAACATAGTATTGAGGACCTGGTGGAAGGATAACTTCTTTTATTATTCATGCTCCCTGTCTGTGAACACACGCTAGACTCAGTGCCTTTGATTATCACAATAGGGACACTGCTGGAATATATTTACCTTGTGATTAACAATCACCTCAGCTTTGTTTTGTTTTTTTTTTCAGCTTGAGCTTCTCATTAGTTACTCTTTTTCCTTTCTCTGCGGTGGGGCTCTTTGTTTTTTCATTTTAATGAAGCATTCTGCTTTAAGTTGGTCCTCTCCTATACGTGACTGCCAAATCTACATCCCTGGCTTTGATCTGCCTCCAGAAATCCAGATCCATCCATCCAAAGGTCCTCTTGACAGTGTTACAACACGGAAATCCAAAAAGCATCTCAACCTTGACGTGGACCAAACAGAAACAAACAAATAAACAAAAAGCTTTGCTTCTCCTGTTCTTTACATTTCCCTTTCCCAGTTGCTTAACCCCCCAAAACCATGCTGTCTGTGACTTCTCTCTTTTGTTCAAGCAAAATCCTATTGACTTCATCTGGAAAAATAGCCTAAAAATCTTATTGACTTTACGTGTAAAAATATCCTCAACCTTTCGTCCCTTTCTATGTCCACTATTAAAACCATTATCCAAGCCCCTTCTCTTACTTGGTCTCTTATAATTGCCATGCGTCCCCCACCGATTCATCTCCTTGCATCAACTTTGGGGCCTGACAATCCATTCACCACAGAGAAACCATCTTGTAAAAGTTAAATCAAATCATCTCTCTCCCATTTCAGCTGGGGACAAGGTCCTTTGTAATCTGGCCCAGCCTTACTTTCTTGACTCCATTTCCTCCTATTAATCCCTTTCCCACTAATCTACAACCACCAACCATCTTTCTGTCCTTCCCATACAGCAACTTCATTTCACACCAAGTTTGCCCTCCAGAATGGTTCTCACCTTGATCTTTGCATAACAAATTCCTTACTATCATTCAGATCTCAGTTTAAATGTCACCTCCTCAGAGAGGAAAACTTTCTTAAATTTTCAATACAAAGTAGCTTCACTCGCTCTCTATCATATCCCTCTATTTGAACTGTCTTCATGACACTTACTTTTAACATATTTTTTTGTATCCATTTATCTCCATATTGTTTGTCTCCTCAAACTAGAACGTAAGTTCCACTAAAGCTAGGGCCTGCCCTGTCTTGTTCGTTGCTATATCCCCAGAACAGTGGCCACTGCCAACCAGGCACATGGTAGATGTCAATAAATATTTGCTAGGTGAATTCTATTTTCTTTTCGTTCTATAGTCCTGTCTTGTTACTATTTAGAAGTCAATTGTAACTTTATCCCTGTCTCCCTGAGTACTGGCAGTCTTATCAATTTCAATTTCACCTGTCAGCCTAATAAGGGCTTCCCTAGTCCTTTGTCTTGGCCATTAATAAGCTATTGAATAGAGGAGGAGAAGGTGGGTCCCGTGGGGTTACCATTCAATACAGTTACTTCAGAACATCTAAAAACTCCTAGTCATCTGAAAGAATAGCTCTCACAAATGACAGACCCAAGTTTCTGATACTCAAGAGATTAAATTTTATAATGTACTTTTTTGGAGTTTCTTTGGGAGTTTTGTTTTGGTTTTAATAATTATCTCAGCATGAAATATTCGGGTGTTAGAAATTACTGTTCTCAGAAAGTCACCTGAATAGCACGAACCTGGGCTTCCTAGTAGTACGTTGACTGTAGATTATAGTCACAGCATTCATTCCTCACCCTGGCTCTGGAGAACTGTCCCCTGGCCTATGCTAATTTTATGTCATCCTTAGACTTTGGTTATTGTATATGCTAGCCTTTCCACCTGGATGTTGGCATTTCCTAGTGTTTTTGCTGATCCCATTCTTCCATCTAATCCATGCTTTTGCTCCTTCCATATGGATTCAGTTCATACAGCATGCTTTTATCTTCCACACCCTATCTCTCCACCTTGGGCTCAGTTTTTCTTTGGAGCTTACGTCTTAGAACTCAGAGCTCAGAAGGCTGTGATGGCCCCTCTGTTTCTATTACTTTGTGGTGTCTTATCTTCATGTATAAAGTAAAGATGACTGTCCTCTGCCCTGTTAATGGCAGTGGTGTGAAGGCTCCTCCTTCCCTGGGATGTGGTGGCACTCAACTGCAAGTTTTTCTGCTAATGTTAATCACTGACCTTCATCAGTAAGGAAACTCTGAGAATGAGATAAGGATGGAGGTCTTCAACCACTTTGGCTTCTTCCTATCAAGACAATAATCAATCCAAAGTCATCAAAATAAACAAACCAAAAACTAAACAAATATCTTTTTGTACCCTCTGGACTTATCAGACAGACTTAACTAGTTAGTGGCCATGACATACTTTGAAATACCTACAATTATTTTAGGAACCAGGAGGGTACATAGCATGAAAGGTAAGTCCATTCCCAGTTATGCTCTTGTTTCCACCTTTGAATGAGGAACCCATTTCCAAGAGAAGCAGTTCAGATCTGCCCGACTTCCTCTGGTTCAGCTTCAGTGATTATTTAGCCTTCAGCCTATTAAAAAAAAAAAAAAAAAAAAGGCTGAAATGGCCAAGTCCTTAAAAGTCAAGACAATATTGACTTGTCTATACATTAGATCATCGGACTATACATTAGATCTCCAAGAACTCATTCATCTTGCATAACTGAAACTTTGTACCCTTTGACCAACATCTCCTCATTTCTTCCTCCTGCCCACCCTCCACTCCCACCCCCTCAGAAACCAGCTTCATGTGGCCAATGTTTCACTATATCCCTATCTATCTATCTATCTATCTATATCAAAGCATCAAGTTATACACTTTAAATATATACAGTTTTTGTATGTCAACGATATCTCAGTAAAGTTGTTCATAAAAAGTCAAGACAGATACTGATAATTTAGGAACTCATAAAAACTTTTATAACCTCTGCCTGCTTTTTGTTTGTAGAAGTAGACCTCAGTATACCAGAAATACAAAACTTCTTATTGCATGAGACTAGTTTTTCTAGCTGGGTAAAGAGATTGACTTTGTAATTTTTTTTTTTTTTCAGTATGCGGGCCTCTCACTGCTGTGGCCTCTCTCCTTGCGGCGGCCATGGCTCACAGGCCCAGCCGCTCCGCGGCATGTGGGATCTTCCCAGACCGGGGCACGAACCCGCGTCCCCTGCATCGGCAGGCAGACTCTCAACCACTGCGCCACCAGGGAAGCCCTGACTTTCTAATTTTTAAGATCGGTTTATTTGGGAAGAGAGGATAAGATAGAGAGACAAGTAATATCCAGAGAATGGACTGAGTAGGTTGACTAGTAATGGGGACAGGGATTCACATCCAATTCATGGATGCTAGTGTAAGTAATGCTTGAAAAATTATTGGATGGATTAAAAGAGTTTCCTTAATCACTTCTTATTTTTTTATTGATATATTCATTTAACATTATATAGTACCATGTGCCAGTGTTTCTGCTAATTTTAGGAATGCAAAAGTGAACAGTATGGTCTTTGACCTCAAAAAGATCACAGTTCAGTGGGAGAGTCAGACATACCTTTTGAAACTATGTATGTAATATCAGGTAAGAAGCATTGTAATAAAGATATGTAGGCGATATGGGGGGGGTCAGACAATGCACAAGACATATGTGACCCCTGAATTCCCAAGATTTTAATGTTGAATGGAGGGATTCAAGATGAGTTAAGAAGTCATCACTTAGCACTATGATAGGTGAAGGCCTGGGTGTTGTAGGAAAATAGAGTTTCTACAGTTGAACTCAGTATCCTGTGTTGTGGAGTCAGAGAAAAATTAAGAATTAACCAGGCCAAAAGAATCACAGGGCTTCCCTGGTGGCGCAGTGGTTGAGAGTCCGCCTGCCGATGCAGGGGACGCGGGTTTGTGCCCCAGTCCGGGAAGATCCCACATGCTGCGGAGCGTCTGGGCCCGTGAGCCATGGCCGCTGAGCCTGCGCATCTGGAGCCTGTGCTCCGCAACGGGAGAGGCCACAACAGTGAGAGGCCCGCGTACCGCAAAAAAAAAAAAAAAAAAAAAAAAGAATCACAGAAAATGAAGCAAATAAAGCTGCCTTGGGGAAGGAGGAGTGTTGGGAAAAGCTTCTCAGAGGAGATGGTCTTTGGGCTTTGTCCTCCGGTTAAATCAAGGGGCGGTAGGGAACTCGATAATATCAAGAAAAGGAAGGAAGCAACTGCTCAAGATTGCTCAAATCCTCTCCACTAGCGGCATCCCTTTAAAGAGTTTCAGATGCTGTGTCCACAAAGGGCCAGACCTTCCTCTTACTGTTGGTCGAAAGATGGAACAGTGTTGCCCAGAACATCAGACACTCAATAATCGTCCCTAAAAGCCCCTTAAAGTGGCATCGGGAAGGGAAAATGATACTTCATCCATTCTGAACAAATAGGAAATGGCTGTTTTTAAGGTTTGATCTGAAAGACACACACCTCCCCTCCCATAGGGTAAACCCCACACTACTGAATTTATCTGTGTCAGAGACTCCAGAGGCTGAATTGATTGTGCTGTAAATTGAACCTCAGGTTCCATTCTGAGTACTTGAAAAATGACACTCCAGCCACTAAGCCCTCCCGCCTGGGTGGTTTTTTTCCTTCAATTCTGAGATGTTGAACGATTTCTGCAGCTCTTGGTGCTGTCTGTACCTGGGCCAGGAAATGCAGTTTTGATCAAATCTCATAATAATATAGGGAGATGTTGAAGATTAATAACTATTGATAATCCAAACTGCCAGAAAGGGAGATACAGAGGAGAATTTAATCACCTGAAAACTGGTTGCAAAATAGTGTGGTTTTATTTTCAGCTGTCTCTTCCATCTACTTGTTTCCAACCCAGGGTGAGTTTTGACGAGGGCCACTCCTGGAACAAGTACGGTTTCACTTCGGTTCCTCTTTTTGTGGATGGAGCTCTGGTGGAGGCAGGCATGGAGACCCAAATTATGACGTGAGTACTTATTTGTCTGTCAAAAGGAGCCTGGAGACCTGGGTTCTATTTCCATGGAGGCCATGGACTTTCTCCAGGGAGGCTTACACGAAAGCATTTCAGTCTCTGGACCAAAGTTTCCTCATCTGTAAGATGGACATATTTATGCAACACCCACCAATTCAAGAGGCTACTGACAGGATTAGAGAAGCTGGGCTTCCAACTGAAAAGTTAAGGTTTCTCATAAAATTAAAGTATTGTAACAAATTTCCGTTTATCCAAAACCCAAGCAAACAGAAAGCTTAAGTCTTTCGATGTGTTTTCTCTCTTTCCAAAACAGTCTAGTAAGGAACAAGGGATGGGGACAGAGGGAACAAAACAGCCAACTTACTGAATACAGGGAATGTTTTAAGGGAACCTCCTAGAGTCTGTGATATACACACACACACAGAGTTGCTGTTGTCCCATTTCAGATTAATTTGCTGTGAAAATTTTTCTACACTCCTTTACGATGAGACTAGATGGTAGAGATAGAGGTCTTAAAGCTGTAAAGAGCTCCAAAGTACTTTCTGAATATTAAAGAAGATAATAATAATTTGATGTTTTCTAAAATTATATCATAGTTTAATTCTTAAAAAGTTGATTATGCGTGTTTGTGTGCACTACTGTAGGTAGGGGGATGAGGAGGAATAGTTGTGGGAACCCTTCACCAGCAATACGAAGCCCCACCGCTCTCCACCTCCCCTACTCCCAAGAGACTGGAATATCTTGCACTTTAATTATTTGCTGGACAGAGTGAAGGGAGCCTGCTGGGCAAGATTAAGGGGAATGTGCTATACTGTGGACTTGTCACAGAAAGGCTTATAGAATGCTCCTGGGCTAGTTTGGGGGAATGCTGTCATCTTCTTACTCTAGGGGACACTGCTCTTCTCTTAACCTTTGCGTTCATTAATTTCTTTATAGTTTGAATCAATCTTTTTCTGATAGGAGACTGATGAGCTTTGCGGAGGAGGCAAATACAAGGGCGAATGGCTAATTCCTACGCTTTACTTTTTTTCCCAGAGTGATCAGTTGAAAAAGCTTTTATAACTGCAGCTCCGCAGTTTTGATCAAATGTTGTAATCTAGCCCCAGACCACTTTGCCATGCTCCTTCCCTCCACTTCCATCCTCATAACCAGAGGGCTGACCAGCCACTCCTCTGAGCTTTCAGAATGACAGAAAGAACCCAGCCATGATGGAAAATGGTGCACAAATTGGAGAAAACAAACAGAACAAATGGACAAAAGTCCAGTCCTAGGAAATTCAGCAGAAGCTCTACACAGGGGTTCCATGTCTATAGGATATGTCTGTAAAAAGAGTCTATAGGATTCCCAGTGTCCTTATTATTTAAAGAATGTTCATAACAGAAAATGTGGGTGGCTTCACAAAATGTCTTTAAAATTAGTTGGAACAAGTGCAACGAAGAGTGATTTTTAAATTATCTTCAGTTCTTTCTGAATTTTCCAAATTGCCTGTACAACCTTCTCTCTAACTTCAAGGGTGTGAACTGTGTCTTTTAAAGACTTAACGCTCATTTTTGAGCATGATCCATGTGTTAGGCACGTAGGCTCTATCGTTGGAAATTTAAAGACATGATGTCAAACCCTATGAGGCGCTGCTACAGTCTTCCCAAGGGGGATATTGTATTCGGAACTTCTCTGGGCAGTTCTGTTGTACAGTGTAAACAAGGGTTTCTGGTAGAATTTGTTCCTCAGGAAGTACAGCTTTAATTTGAGTTTTTTCAGCAATTTCTTTTTGTTCTCCTAAAATATCCTCCAAAACAGAATTGTTTCACCATCTAAATTTCTAGTTAAATGGACTCTGTTGTTGCTGTCAAGTCACTTTATTAATTAAGACTTAACACTATTGTATGCAAGTTTAGCTGTTTGAGCCATGGACAGTATTTAAGATATAGTATGTTAGTAATGCTTAGAGTCTAAAGCCTCATTGTTTGGTAGAGACACAGCAACAATATGTTGTATAAATACAAATTCTGGATGTTCAAAGGCAGTATCATAACATAAACTTTATTTCTAAAATACAAATGATTTGATAAATATGTAGATATATGCATGGTGAATATATATGCAAGTATTTGTGTGTATAGACATATGTCCGGGTATATATGTACACATAGATATACATGTATATATGGAGAGATTTAGACAACAGAGGTACAATGGGAGAGAAATCCCAAGGACCTAGGGTCCCAGCAAGACCTTCGAAAAGTTATATTATTAAACAAAACTAGCGGTACCTATGTGCCAGTTACTATTCTAGATGAGCAAATCAAGAAGAAACCCCTGTCCTCGTGGACTGCATACATTAAATAAATGTGACATACAAATGACTCTGTCATGTTACCCAGAATACTCTGCCCAGGGATTGAAATATTTTCTTAGGAATTCTAGGAAGCGTACCCCAGAATACTAGGAATACTGCCATTGTTTTTCATAAGGATCTCTGACCACGAGCTGACTTTTCCAAATGATTTCCCATCCTTCGCTTAATCACTAGATATGAAAAGAAAACCTTCCTCCATTCTGGGACTTCCTCCAATACGGCCACTAGGAAGTTTCAGGTATTGAGTTCGAAGCTCTGTAAGGTGAAGGTTCACACGTTCAAGAAGGTTGTGCAGTCTACTTGAATGAATCAAGTCAAATGTGACTGCTCATCACAATCAAATCTGACATGGCCCTAGAAGGTTGGGCAGCGAAGATACCTATGGTCCTGAAGTCAGGTCTTCCCTGTTGTTTTAGCAAAGAGACGTACTGGTCCTCCTTTTATTCTGTGTTCTCCTTACCTCATGCTGTGATTTATCCTGCGTTCTCTTGTACGAGGCCTCTCTGAACTCATTGCATGCTTCTCTTGGGCATTACTCTGAACAATAGTGCATGTACACCAATCTCTGCATGACCTGGCGTTCCCCAGCAAATTTAAAGCAACAGTTTAGATTCTGTATTCATCTAATCGTAAGTGGTAATATATATATATTTTTTCTCAGCTTTGGATGGGGTTTAGCTGGTCACATGGGTATGAGGGAGATTGACCTCAGGGCTAAACCATTTACTGAAAAGATGAGCTACTGCTTCTGTTTTTCTTTCCTCCCCAGTAAGACTCCAAGGAGTGTGGCAGAGTTTTTGTCTCCCTTCTCCTTTGCTTATCAAGATTCTTTAAATGCGAGTAAGTAGAACAGGAACTAGAATAGTGCAAAATTTTCTTATATGGGATTTGAGGCAGACAGGTATTTGTCCTTCATGGAATTAAGATGAGTTTGGAAGCAATCATCCAACCAAGTATAAACAATTCAAGCTCCCTATTTTTAACTTTTTATTAATTCAGAGTTTCTCTAGGATGAAAATGATCCAGGACTCCTTAGACAGCCAGAAGCGTAGGCCCTGGAATGATTGCCGAGAGGCAATTTCTGGCTCTGTCTTAGGTTTAAAAAGGACGTTAAAACCAAGTGGCCCACTAAGGATGACCACTGCTTTTCTCGCATGGAATAGCAATGACAAAGACTAAAGCAGGAGTTCAAATAATTTTATATACGCTTTAGGAACTTCGAGGACAGGAGGTCCATTTGGGGACAAGATTGCTTAACCTTGCCATTTAGCCAAAAACTTATTTATGATGCAGGCTATTTGATTTCTGTATCCTGCCTCTTTCTGTTAACCCTGACTCTGTAGTTCAACTGAAGTCAGAGAGAAAGAAGGGCTATAGCTCATTCACACTAAGGTTTTATTGCCTCGTTACCTTCATTTGGAGGATATAATATATATAAGTTTGTGATGGTTAACATTATGGGTCAACTTGACTGGGTCATGGCGTGCCTAGATACTTGGTCAAACGTTATTCTGGATGCTTCTGTGAAGGTGTTTTTGGACAAGATTAGCATTTAAATCAGTAGACCCAATATAGCAGATTGTTCTCCCTAATGTGGGTGGAACTCATCCAATCAGTTGAAGGCCTGGTTAGAACTAAAAGGCTAACTCTTCCCTGAGCAAGAGAGAATGCTTCTTGCCTGGCTGCATTTGAACTGGGACATGGATTTTTCTTGCCTTTGACTCCAACTGAAACTTCCACTTTTCCTGGGTCTCAAGCTTGGAACTATACCATTGGCCCTCCTGCATCACCAGCTTGCTGACTCACCCTGCAGGTCTTGGGACATGTCAGCCCCCATAATTGTGTGAGCCAATTCCATACAGTCAGTCTCTCTCTCTCTTTGTCTCTATCTCCTATTCATTCTGTTTCTCTAGAGAGCCCTGACTACTACACATTCATTCAGAAACATTTCATGAGCTTCTGATATGTTTTAGACCCTCTTCAGGAATATCAAAGAGGTAAATACAATTACATCTATCTTTAAGGAGCTCTCAGTCTGGTGTGTTGGGGGGTGCGTGAAACGAGATACACAATCATCAAGAATCCCTAGTTATATAACCAGGATACAAGTAGAGGGAAGTGAAAACTTCACATGTATGAAATGTGACAACTGAGTCAGTCTGGAAGTTTCAATAGCAGTTCACCAATGGACAACCAATTAATAGGTAATAGAATGTAAGCTCAAAGAAAGCACACATTTTAAACAGTTTTGTTGAACACTATAACCTCAGGGCCTAAAAGAGGGTTGGCATGTAGTCGGAAATCACTTCTCATTGGTTGAAAGAATGAATGACTTCAAAGCAAAGGAAAGAACCATGAGAGAGCATGACTGGGGTTAAGGGGTTGAGCCTATGAAGGGTCTTAGGTTATGTTTAGGAATTTGACTTATATCCACAGTGAGGTTCTTGAAATTGGAAATATGGAAACACCACTCCTCTTCTCAAAATGCATGGAGGGCTTTCCACTGACTTTAGGATGAAGTCCAAACTCATCGAATGGTCTATAAATATCTACACTGGGTCCATGTCTGGGACCTCAGTTCTGGCCCCCATGCTCTGACCACCCTTCTCTGATCTACTGGTGCCTTTCTGCCCCAGGG